AATCTCGAAATAATGGATCCAGCAACCAAGCCAAAACAAAAATACAAATTCTCCTTGCTTTTTCCGGTGGGCTGATATCATTGCTCATTTTTGATTTCTGTTCGGAAGCGGTATTAGACGACATGATAAAGTTTGTATGGCTATAATATTAAAAAAAGGAACTCATAAGAGAACATAAACAAAACTGATTTTCATCAGTAGTTAAGCCATCTTCCGTACAAACAAACACAAGTCCTTATACTATGTTTGAAGTCAGCAGTTAATTACCTGCGTCCTAAGCATGCGACAAAGTATAAGTACACTTGCAACATCAAGAGTAAACTTAAAACTGCACTGATTTTTATGACTCAACTGTCATATCTACAATAAGAGTACGCTAACTTACTTTACACCGACCTGTTTCCTCCGAAGGTACGCGCAGAAAGACAGTTGACAATTTGACACTGTCGTCTGCGTCTCCGCAAAAGTACAGTATAGGTATAGTTAATACCATAGCTAGCTGTAGAATCAAAACAAACACCAGTAATACGTGTCTTATTTTCGGGTGCGCGAGTTCATTGCTTCTGCGCCGCCGTTGTTTTAGCAAGTGCTTATTTTTAAAGCGCGGAAATAAAATTTTTCTGATACCGTACGTAAATTATTTTCCGAATCGTGCGAGTTTCACTTAGACTTTTTCTTAGATGGTCTCAACCTCAATCGGATGATAAAATTTTATAATTAGGCAAACCTTTATTTCCACTAATTCGAAATGAGCATTGACATATCTTCGTCAATTAAAACACATCAATTGAAAAAAATCTTCTACATCCATACAATAATAACAATTCTTCTGTTCGCTTTGTTTACTTTTTTAAAAATTGACTCCAACATTTTATTAGTGGAATAGGCCTACTGGAGATACTACTAGAGAAAAAAATTGCAGAAATAATTTATATACTTTTCTAATTCTTTATTTTCATAAATTTTTCTACTCTTTTAAAACTTCGAAGTAATTTCATTCTGGCTTATTCTTAACTAGTATAGAAATTGTATCACTCCTCATTTTTTTGTTTAAACAAAAAAAGCGCCGAGATACTTACCGCTAGGTGGTGTGGAAACAGATTTAATTAGTGTTACAATTAAAAAAAAAAAAAAAACTTATTTGCACGGCCACGATGTGTTTCTACAAGATAAGGGCACTAAAAAAATCACCATAGAGAGTCAATCCAATATTAATGATATTAACATTATGGGAAGTGGGCGTGGAAGTTAAAGGACGGGGAGAGGGCCTCCCCTACCCCTGCCTACCTGCTTGGAAAGAGAGTAGAGCTGTTCTGCGCTTGCGCGGCTAGCTGGGAGCACCCAAGAAAAGTCTTATTTCTCTGGCATCACTGTCCCAAGCCTCCTTAACAAGTAGGTTACGCAATTTTCTATACATTCTATTTCTGATAGCAAACTATTAGTATACATATTTATGATCATACTTCATGATTTTCAGAACAACAGTCACTAGGCATGAAAAATGAAGCAGTTTCCGTATCAGAAATACAAAAAATTACGTTATTATTTCCCATTTGGTTTTCCATACTGAAAAATATATTTCCATAACATGCAGCTACTACTCAAAACTAGTTTTAAGAGGTAGTAAGCTCAGAGTCCTCAAAAAAATAATAGTTTTCCACCAATGTAAATACAAGCGTACCAAAAAAATTGATATGAATTTCATTTTGCTTTTAAACACATTGTGCCTTCTTATAAATCTGTGATAGTAAGTTTTAAATAGCACATTTATTATAACGTATCAATCGTAGGAACAATAAAAATTAACATTTTTTTAAACACATTTCTGAAACTTGAAAAAATGATGCTATTATTTCTAATTACATTATGATAAAATATTACGCACATGTAGGCCCTTCAGGAATTGATTGGATATTATTGCGCACTGAACGTATGTAAAAAAATCCTACAGGAACTTTCAATGATTTATTTGAGGCTTTATAAAAATATGTTTTGAATGTATCCACATTAAAATATATATATTGTATTATTAAACTATTTCTTGTAGCTCTTTCTTTATCAATCACTATTTTACAACATCTATAATGTAAGTAAATTACTTGAGCTATGATTAGACGTATAAATGGAAAAGACTTAAGCTCAATTAAGCCCACACTTAATGAATTATTCCTTTTTTTCACAGGCACTCTTTAAGTTCTTTACAAAATGAACTGCAATCATTTAATATATTTCTGATACACAAAATAATATTACTTAAAATTTATCTTTATTTTGATTATATTTTATTATGAATTGATTATATTTAAAATTTATTAATTATAGTTAATACCTCTAAAAATGACATTGATACACAGAAATTCGTATGTAGATATAAAAATAATAACAATATTTTTCTTTCTAGAAACAGCAAACTAACAAAAACTGAACACAGTCTGATGCCTTACGACGCATTTGGTTAGAGCCAAGTTCCATACAGACGGTATCGTTATTTATGATAAGGATACACCTACGTTACAAAAAACAAATTAATTGTAGCTCGATTTTAGCAAGACAGAAGCTTTTACTTTTTAGTCCTTCAAAGAACAAGGAGAAAATAGTACATGGCACATGGTTTGAGTAACAAACGAACATCAAATTTTCTCGCTTACAGATTTCCACCAGCGTGTTTTAAAGTTGAAAAACGCGATATGTACCGCTGGATTGATATTCGTGAAAAAGGCGCTTTTAATTTCAAGTTTTTTTAATATCAGTGAAAAAATAGTAAATTGCATGGTTGGAGAAATAAATTTATTCACTCTCAGATTTGCTCTAGTTCATTCTTAAGTCGAATTACGTGGTACGTCTTGCGAGCTTGATATCCGCAAAAAAGTTTGTATAATTATAAGACTCGAAAAGTTTGTGTACATAATTATAACAATCGTATCGTTTTAGGATATTATAAGTCGAGATACATGGTATGTGCTTCTAGCTTTATATCAAACTATCAAAACTTTTTCTATCTTTGTTTTGTAAAGAGCATCAAATTCCGTTCTTGCATAACAATTGAGCAAAAATTTACGACAAATTGTTGTAAAACTTTGTAGTAGGGGTTGTGACTTGGTGCTGCTACCTTCATATACGTCGCAACTTTGGACTTGACATACTATTAATTATTAGCGATCAGTAACTATTTCAGAGACATTACCAGTTATAATATCAACGATAAAGAGTTTTTCGGTCGTTGAGAATTTTTGAATACAGAAATACTTCATTTGGAAACATCAGTCTGAAAAATATTGAAATATAAATAAAATGAGGACATTAATTCATTTACTGGAACTAAAACTTTAAAAAATCTACAGTACTTAAGAAAACGATATTGTTAAGAGATAGAAATTAATAGGTATGGACATTAAAAAAGTCAAGATATAAGGTAACAAGCCAAAATAATAAGAGTAATAAATCAGAAACATAAGCTAAGAAATAGAAATACAAAAATTAAGACTAAGAAGTTATAAAGAGATGAACACAGACGATAGAACATAGACTGTTCAATTTAGATAGCTATGGGAATCTTAACCTTGGTAGGAAATATAACTAAATTGTTAAAAGAATTGGTACCCAAGGATTTTTTCAGACAACACTAGCAATAAATATCACCAGTACATCTTGCTAAAATAAGATAGTCATTAGTTAAGGTAAGCGAAAAATGACTATCTCTATATACATCAAGCCCTGATGCACACCTTTCCAACTTTTCGTCACAGCTAAACCAAAAAGTTATGAAGTCATAAAAATAATAGTGGAGTATGATCTGCATCAGTGCTGCTTTTTAAGCCATCGGAAATATCAAACTCAAGCTACAAATTTCGAGGAAACTGTTCCAGCTGAATCGACTTAAGCAGCAAGGCTGCAAAATTTAATGAGGCTAGATGACAATATTTTACGCTAATCAAGATGTATGGATTGCCCGTGACATGGTTGCTTCTTTTGAATAACAACTGACCTACAGAGTTTGATAGTACACACTGCCATTTAACCAAATTAAATGTGGACTCCTAGAAATCTCATACTTAAGTCTTGACAAGATTTTCAGGATTATGCCAAAACCTTTAGCCTAGTTATTGTCAAACTACGATCTACTACCACCTAAACCATTTTACCTGACTTTCTACTCTTGCTTAAATAAACGAAGATTGCTGTTTGAAAAAATATTCCTTGAGATAATTGATTAGAACTATATAGAGCCATCATTCTGTCCCTAGAGCTCTTCGATAGTATTGATGGTAAAATACGATGTTGTCAAGATTGCGCGCTGCTTAAGTCTATCCTTGAAGAGACTTAATAAAATAAGTTTTGCAAATTTATGACGCAGCAAAAAAGTTGGTTTGGGGGTGACAGCAGACTCCCCTAAAAAAGTGGATATTTCCCAACCTCTGGCTTCCGGATAATAACAAGTTTTATAATTGGATATTCCTAATGTATTGGAAACAAGAGATAAAAAAGCTTTACGCATCGAATGAAATATTATTAATAGTTAAAATGGGCAAGAAAATCAAGCACTGTGTCAGAGATACTCATTGAAGATTTTGGTTGCTCTGACTGTTTAAATCATATTAAAATTGAGATACGACTGTTGCTACTAAAAGTTTTAAAAATAGGAAGGAAAAAAAAAAATTTTTTAATTTCTTTTACGTTTTCCATATACTTACGTATTTTTAAAACTTATTTGCACGGCCACGATGTGTTTCTACAAGATAAGGGCACTAAAAAAATCACCATAGAGAGTCAATCCAATATTAATGATATTAACATTATAAAAACAAATTAAAGTATTTATTAAACTTAAAATTAAAATACTCATAAAAAATACTCATAGTTTATTTCTAAAACAAGCAAAGATAATTTATTTTATTTAAGTTATCAATAAATTGTTAAATTTTTAGTCAGCATTTCTTATGAGCAATAATTTTGAAGTTGGGTACACCTATTTTTTAAAAGAGTTCAAACTTTTTCCATACCTGCACGATGAAAAATAACCAGTATGTGCTCACACATAACATAGTTAATATAACTACTCCTGTCTGAAAAATGCATAGTCGAGGTGTAAAAACTTTTTTAGCTCGGAAAAATATGGCCCAGTTTCCGATTCCAAGTAAAGTTACTTTAAACATTAGGCCAAGGAGATGTCCCTTGCATTCAATATTACAAGATGAGAAAACTAACTTTTGTTGAATTGAAAGCAATGAAAGTGAGTCTGGATTCATTCCAAGTTTTGGTGTTATAATCATAATTAAAGGGCTCAAAATAACGCCAAAAATAACAAATGTCAGTAAAGGTGGGCTAACGTAACGTATGAATGCTACTTTAGAAGATACTTCATCATTTGACCACTGATCAATTCCTTCAACTGAATCGGATCTTTCAGATGTGTTTCCCGTAAAAATTGTTGTATTTTCAGCCCAAGTTTCTTCATCTGGCAAAATCTGCACATCGATTATGTCTTGAGCATTACTGTCAGTAGCTTCTTCTCTTATGTTGACCATTGTTTGGAAAGGTGCCATTTTTTAATTTTCAAAATATTTCAGAAAAAGACAAATCTGAAAAAAAGACTGAGCATATAACTTACATCTTTTAGTTGATTTAAAAAGTATAATATGTTAAGAAAGAATATATTTTAAATGTTAGCATTACAGAAAGAAAATTTATTCACATTAAGTTGTGTAACAATGAAATGGACAGAAAAAATAACGATTTGTAATTGTATTCCAAAAGAAATAACCGTAGTGTTTACTAATTAGAAAAAAATACTCAAGTATGCGAATTTTACAAAAATTTAAAAATTTTGAAACTATTATAAAAATTATATCAATAAATGTTTTTATTTGAGATACTTCAGTTTTTGATTTATATGTATTTTTCAAAAAAAGAGGATCCTAATAAAATTCAAGTTATTGACAAGCATTAGAACTTTTTTGCATTGGACCTATTAAAATAAAGCTTTAGGTCAAAAAACAGCTTAAATCAAGGATACAAATTTAATCAAACCTACAGTGCGAGGACACGAGGTTACAGTAAATAGCCACTCGGTAGCTCGATTAGTAGAGCAACTATCTAGTAAACAGGGGGTTGTACATATTCGTTCAACACCAGGAGAAGATATTTTTCGGCACACCAGGAGCGAGTACTCGATTGTGAGCCATCTATTGTGGTTTTGAAGACATCGATTTACATATGCTTCTAGCAGTCTGCATAAAAACGTGTGAACTACTTACTCGTACCACTTACTCATCTTATACTTGACTGACTCTACGGAGCTATTTGAAGAAGTGTGTGGAGTAGAGGTAAGGAAAAACGGTAGAGCAATGGAGTAATAACTTGGAATAAAATGTACTGATGGTTACCAAGATGATCGAGATTTCAAGTCGAAAATCATAGCGCGAAGCACACACATGTATCACAATCAGCAAGCTAGTGATAAGCACAAGTGCTAAGAGTTTTATGGCCTTTTATATACGTTTAAGTCAACATGGATGACGATAGTTTATGTAGTATAGATAATGTATCTGATTACGAAGAAGAGATTTCTTCTGAAATCGTCATAGCAGCCAAAAAAAATTCTATTGATTTACCACCAGACAAATCTTAGCGTATATTTTGGTGCAGATTACAATAGTTTCTAATCTTGTTGTTCAACAAAGAAAATAACGTTCTTGTTTAAAGAGCTTTTTTTAAGCATATTTGATATTTTTTTGATAAAGTGGATAAAGGTAATTATTATCATAACTTATATTAAAAAGAAAAATGCTGAATATATAAAAAAAAAATCTAAAGTATTAACTGCTGACGAGATCAGTGAATTTCGGAATGATGATCCTAACGAAACACATTTATTACAAAAAGTGTGTTTGTTGTTTCTTGTACAAACTCAAATTTTAACTTAACTTTTTACACACTCTCTGTCTTTCTTGTAGGTTATTCTTTTAATTGAGTCTTTCGGTTACATAAAAAGGGTGGAATCGACGAATACGTCAACTATAGAATTCGAAGATTATGAAAACATGTTCATTGTACGGATTTCCATCACTTAAATAATGTTTTCAAGTTTTTTTTCAATTTGTAGAGAATTCTGTGATGTACGTAAATTATATAGAGACGACACAACAACGAAAGACATCAAAGATTTTTTTACATTATTCGCACGGACGATGCACAAGCCAGCCGATTGGTATAAATACGATAGGTCAAATAACAAAACTAATGGTTACTTGGTTAACATTACTAAACACTCATTTACACACGATCCTTAGTTTTAGAAGGACATCAGCAACTTTGCTAGTCGATGCAGAAAGCGATCTTACTGATTTTACAAGGCACGGCTGAAAGATACATCAACAAATCATTGAGACACAAAGTCGTCGGTATTGTTTCATGGTTGTACCCATTTATTTGTATTTCATATAAACAGCAAGTATAATAATAAATTATAATTAATCTTAACATTTGTTAAATTTATTTTACTCCTCCTCATTTCCGTCAAAAACTAAATATAATCAAGCTCTGGCAAATCATCCAGATTACAGCCAGAATTAATCCAAACCTGCACACACTCCAGATCAGGACCAGATCAAGAATCTGGATCCTCTTCGGATCCTTTATCTCACGACAAGGATTTATCCTTGACCATAATCGTAGGTCAATTTTTATCCAGGTTTTTACAAACATAGATGATTATCTTTTTCTTCTATTCTTTATTTTTGTTATTGTGCATTCTAAAAAAAAAAAAGAAAAACAATTTCAAACGCTTTCACGTTACAAACAGCGAAGAGAAATACCGTCGAACTACATGCCAACAGGCAAGATGAATACAACAAAGTAAGTGTTTTAATATTTATAATAAGTTTATTAAAATTTAGACATTTTGAAAACTTGGCGATAGTGGATAGTGAAATGGTATTCCAATCTACGGATGCATATTTATTCCTTGTATATCTGCGTAAAGATATATTCAAAGAATTTTGTACGTCAAATAAATTTGTAACCGAAATATCTGCAAAAATAATAATGGATATTCTCTTTAATTAAATGTGCCTTGTTATCAGGTTGTTCAGAAAAATTAAATTGTGAATGCATTTAATTTCATGGTGATTTATAAAAAATGTATACGTATATTTTTAATTCTATTATGTAACTGTAACAAATAATATGTCTAATATTAATTAATATTGCTGATATCTCGAAATTATATATAGATAATACTGGACCACTATGAATTTGAAGTAATCCCTTTTCTGTTCATGAAATAATCACAACTAGAGCTTCAAATGTTAAGGAAATCATTTTTCGGAAGTAGTTTAACCTCATAAACTTTTTTAAAAATCCCTTAAGCATGTGACTTTAAATTTCCATTTAAACCTCTAAAACAATAGTTTCAGAGTTTTCTACTTATTTATACAATTTTAATATAGAAAATAACGTATGCAAAAAATGACGTAAGTACTAAGTGCAACACAATAGCCCGTTGCAACAAACCCCACTATATGGACCCGTAAAACTTTTTGACAGGCAACTGTATTACCGTACAGTAACTAATACCCCCTACTTTCTTTCTAATCTGCCACTATGATTGCCTCAGCTCTTTTGTATGTATGTGTGTATGTTTGATTAGGAGTAAAAGAACAATTACGTGTGTCAACTCCTAGAAATTGAAGATCCTAGGAACATTTTTTACCTTTCTGCTTCTATTTTTTGATGCAATATTTTAATTTTTACAGTCATAAGGAAAAGAAGTAAGGTTGCAGTTGCATAAGAACAAGATAAATAAATTCATTTATTTATTTTTAAAATTCATAGTATTGAAAAGGGCATTCACATAAAAATACATTGTACACAACATCAAACATGAAATATTTTATTAATGTCTTCTGTTCTACAGTATCATGTGCTACAAATTAACTTCATTTAACTCTAAGCATCAACAATAATTCTTTACAACACTGTCATCTTCACTTTATTGTCTCATTTGTTCAGTCTCGATGATTTTTTCTCCTTATAGCTTATGATTAACTTCAGGAACTAGTTAGACCCGTAAATCTTGTCATCTTGCAAGTTACTAGGGTTTGTCGTTAAGTGTGTTTCAATGTAAAAAAATTCCTATTTAAACATACTCTCACTAGAAACTGTGAAAGAATCCCTTCAGTATTTAGGCCCAACAGGTTCCCAATAATTGTCCACCAATTTTCCATATCCAAAACCGATCGTTCAGTCCTGAAGCTTGCAAATTACCGGAGGAAATGATGCATTTAGATTCTGTTTTAAGGTTGCCACATCCAAAGCTTCTCTGTCCAGGACTCTCTATTACACATTTTACTATTACATATTTTTGTTTTAGTCCAAATGAAAGCTACTTATTGGAAAAAGTGAGAATATTGAAGACATTCAGAGGTAGCATGATAAAACGCTGATATTGTTTATTTGTTAAACTTTATAAAAGCTCGTAGCTATGCTGTCAGGGATGCGTAGACAACAAAGTATAAGCACATACGATACAGAATAACAGCTAAGAATTAAATTTTAAATGAACGACATATTACTACAACTGCTGTGTAAGCAATTTATTGTATACACGCCACCATCTAATATATAGTTAAAGTTTTTTATCCTTAACGAAATAAAACATCTAGTGAGTAAATCTTTTTTTTTTCAAATTACCAGAAAAATAATCAAGAAATTTTATGAAACCCTATTCTTGACTTACGTAAAACAAAAACATTAAATGAAATTGACTACATGGATTTGACATAAGCTATGCAGCTGTTTAAGATTCCAGCATTTTTTACAGTTTTTTTATAAGTAATTAATGTGATCTGGTATAAACAGTAAAACGTAAAAGCTGTTTTCATAAAAGCCATATTATGATTATTAACATACATTGCAACCCAATACGTACCTGGCTTAGAATTCGTGAACATTACCTAGGGCACATCGCTATTTTTATAGTTTGGCTTTAATGCATGATGCATAAAATATTTCTCTGCTGATAACACTTTAAAAGGTGGACACATCATTTAAAATTTTTAAAACCACTTGTAAAGGGAATTTATCCTTAAAGAAATCACGTCTATGACGATGTCAGGAGATCCAAATAATGTCATTGCACCTCCTTACTTAGTTTTTGTAAAGGACAAGAATGTGTTACTACTACCCAATATGCGGAAAAGCCATTGTTCAAAACAATGATAGCAACTTATTATTTCTGCAATAATACGTCTTTCTTTACTTTAAAATACTGAATGTCTAGTATGAGATCTATTTCGTTTTATAGATGGTTGAGTGTACCAACAGAATTGAAACCGAGAGACGACTGACACCCGTAGCCTTAAGATAGACACCAATAACCCTTTCTCTCTGCCTCACTCCCCTTGCTACTACATGCTCAAATTTTTACGTTTATATATATACATATGTGTATATATATATGCTAGTCGGGCTAATGCCCTCCTGCACGC